ACAGGTCTAAGAAAAGTGCAGCACAATAATCCTTAGCATCCAGTGCTTCAACAACATCATTAAGAACCTTCAGTGAAGCAGTGGTTGTGCTGTGTTGTTTCCTGAAACCAGATTGATGTAGAGGTAAGATGTTAAATGAGTCTAGGTCATTTTTGATTTGAGAGTTTATCAGTTTTTCTAGAACCTTGGCTAAAATGCAGAGTTTAGAGATTGGTCCATAGTTGTTCAGTGAGGTGGGGTCTCCTCCCTTCAGCAAAGGAAGAACAAAGGCTGTTTTCCAAGAGTCTGGGATGGAGTTTTGTCTTATGGAGAGATTGAAGATGTGGGTCACAGGGACTGTGATGATATGAGCAGCAAGTCTTAGGAAATAAGGTGGAAGTTCATCGGGGTCTGCAGATTTTTTAGAGTCTAGACCTTTTAACAATGTATTTATTTCTATCTGAAAACGGGGAAAGAGAAAAGGTGTGATTTACTGAAGATTGACTTGTAGGAGAGAATTGACTTGTAGAAGTTTGACTTTTAGGGGAAGTGGCTGATTTTCCATTAGTAACTGTGTGAAATAAAGAACTAGAAGCGACAAAATGTTTGTTGAAACAGTTCAGGATCTCGTGCTTATTTGACACAGGAACAGAGTTAACGAGAAGTTGTGATGGGAGGTCAGATGAATGAGAGTTGCCATAGAGAGATTTGATAGTTTTCCAGAATCTTTTTGAATCATTTAGATTTTTGGAGGTCCGAGATAACCAGTAGTTACGTTTTGAAGCTTTGATGGAAGCTATTTATTCTGCAACTGTCAAAAATGCAACCAATCAGTGTCTGAACCACAATATGTTGCTGTAGTCCAAAGCTGATCTCTCATGTGTAGGAGATCAACTAGCTCAGGAGTAAACCAGGGGCTGTCTCATCCTTTTAGTCCAAACTGGTGAAAAGGGGCATGTTTGTTTACAAAATAGATGAAACCAGAGCCCTATAAAGAGAGAGTTGTGACACTCCCATAGACTCCCATAGACTCCCATAGACTCCCATAGACTCCCATAGACTCCCATAGAAGGAATGGAATGCAGAAGTCACATGGGTCATGCAGCAGCAAAAAGTTCCAAACAGCAGCAGTTCAGCATTGAACGTAGTTCATTCTCCGTGTTTTCTCCAGTAAGTTGATGCAAATGCGACACATTTTCTCCATTGTGAAGCGTTATCTGACTGTTCTGTACCACAATTTATCAACATTAATACTTCATGTCGCCAGTTTTACTTAATGAAACATGTTAAATTACTAGTTGTGTTTTAACTGCAGCTGCTCTGCAACATGACGGTTTAAACGGGTCTATTTGTAATTCAGCGTTTTAAAATATCTTACTGCTTAAATTTTGAAAGGTGGTCCTTTTTTAATTTATGGTAATTCCAGTTACTGAACTCAACTAGAAAATATTTGGCCTTTTTTTCCTGAGAGATTCATTCAACCTTTATTTCTACAGGTAAATCCCATTGAGCCTCGAGGACTCATTTACAAGAGAGACCTGATTTAACAAAGAATAATGACAACATGACAACAAGACTGATGTAATTTAGTTAAAGTTATAGATCATTTGTCAAAGACTGCAGCATAAGTTGTGACATTATCATTAAAGAAAAACGTGATTGTGGAGATGAGTCAATGTTTTCATGTTTTCCAGGTAAACCAGAGGAGAATGACTTCATGAACTGAATGTTGCATTCAAAGTATCACAAAGGTACAAGATCTCATTTTCTGTCTTCTATTAATCAATAACAGCTGAATCAAGATGTTTGAATAAAATTACTTTAACACCATAACCTTCACAAAGTTGGTATTTACTGCAGGACTGTTGATTTACATTAGTTTTATATTACTAGTTTAGCATATGGTAATCATGGGTCAAGTTAAGATGAGACTCTTTCAAGACAGAACAAGAAATAAGAATTATTACAAGAATATATCAGCATCAATAAACCGTATAAACTTATTAAACTATCACAGGTACATTGAGATGGAGCTGGAAGTTATTCTTCATGCCAGTTGTCTTCATCTGATCTTTTGTAAAAATATGTCAATTTATTTTCCATTGTTAACATTTTTCTTGTCAGGACTGAGTTAATGTTCTTGTCTGTGAGTTTCTTCTGTCCTGCTTATGTATTTTTTGTTCTAATTGTTCCTCAGGTTGTTCATCTCTGTTCCCTGACTGCCTGTTGATCCATCCTCCTGGTCCTGTTGATCCTGGATCATCAGATCCTGACATGTCCCCGTCCTCTGAGGACACATTTTCATCTTTCCCTCATCTCACTCGCCTCATTTCTGTTTCTTCCTCAGTCTCTGAAATTACAACGTCACTGTTACAATGAAGATTATTGTTCAATAAAAAATATGACATGTCTTATTTAACACTGTTCATACCAAAGTGTAATTTAGAACAACTTGTGTGATCACTGGTCAGATCACTGGTCAGATCACTGGTCAGATCACTGGTCAG